GCTTACCCTAGCGGTTTGCGTAGCCCAGTCAGCCTTCAGTTTGCCAGTTCGCTTACCAGCGTGTGGAGCATAAAGAGAGTCGAAAGTAAGCTTAAGGCCGCGTCCAAACTGTTCATTGACCTCAATAACAGTCCCAAGTTGATTTTCGGTGTTCCATTTCTCAGTTAGGGTAAGACCTAAAAACGAGGCCAATCAGATTAACCCAAAGACTCACAGAAGAACTTAGGTTACGAAAAAATGATCTTGCACAATGACTCTCAGCTTCAATTTAAATTAATCAAATGGAAATTTAAGTATAGCTCTCATAACACTAAGGAATGTTCTCGTGAGGTGAAAATTGTTGAGTAATAGCAATCATTTTGGCATATATCCTGAAAATAAAGGGTATTGAATACGTTTTTAGACTAACAACTTCTGAATTATCGTTTTTCCATCCAGCAAGAAACCGTTAGTGATCTTGAACCTGGCGCAAGCTTGGCAATGACTCTTCTATCTAAGTACTGCGGTCATCTTGGGCAGTTACTACTCGGGAGTACTCTTCTCTGACGCCTGGGGTGTAGTTTTAGAAACGGCAGTGACTGATTCCTATAATGGGCTTTATAGAAAACTAGCTGACAACCGGTTTTGCTCGCTCGTATGGAATCTCTGAGGTATGAACTGTTCAGACTCTGTAAATATAAAGACACGAAAATCAATCGCTGGGCGGGTAAAAGCCCAAGGCGCTGGTGGTCTTAGAATGCCTCATACAAAGTTTGATCTGGTTGGAAAGTCAAAACAAGTGTATACTTAGTTGCTGTTTACAAATCTAGCTGCCAGCTCCTACTAACCGGCATTAATAGAAGCTTTCGACGATTTCTAAAAAAATGCTTGTTATAATTACTGATTTTGACAAGCATCATCACGAGGCGAGGTTGGAAATGCCGGAAAATTGCGTATATTGGGCTAAAGCTTATTGTAGTCTATGTAGGTGCATGAAAACTCATTTTCACAAATTTGTCTTCCTCTACCAGGGCCGACGACTTGTTGTTCACTTAAATCAGGATACACATTCTTCTGATGTGGCTTCTGCAAATACTTGATAAAGGCGATTGGTCCCCTGCCTGAGCGCACTTTTAAAGGCACACCCTACACCCCTAAATTAAAGCGTTAGCACAAAATGAATGCGGTCTTCAAGATAAGGATGTTAAGTCACCCGTGCCAAATGAGAATAATTGTATGGAACACCTAATGTAGTCTTGGGGATCGAATACGAGTGCATAACAAGGAGGGACAGCAGACTTACCAGTGCACCATTCACCAAGCTGAGTTCATTATCAAGTTGTTAATATCGCAAACCACATCGTAAACTCAGTTAAAACTTTCCTTCGGAACTGTTTAGCAGATTTAAGACTATCGCTGATAACCTTCTCTCCTAATATAAATCTCATCTCAAACGGCCACAACGATGTAACATCAGTCTCTTCTTAGATTCGAGTTTTTACTCTAGTCGATTATTCGCGATTCTTGCCCTCGCCATGTAACAATAAATAATCAACTTAATATCAGTGTAAACTGGAAGTATTCCTAACTACACAGTTAATAAAGTAAATAATGCAATTAAAAGACACTATGATTGAAACTACATGATCATATAGAAGCTAAGTGAAAATGGCACTGCAGCAAAACAAAAATGAACTCGTCCTATATTTTGAAAAAGCGACAAAAGATACAAGAGGCGATGAGTAGATTTAGCTGGAATTCTTGTATTCACGTAATATTAGTGAACAAACACCTCAATTTTTTCGCATAGGGCAAACTTAGCGTTTCAGGAACTGTTCTAAGAAAATAACATATAAGCTTTGTAAGTCGAACATAAATTCAATGTGCAACGTTATATATTTCACCGGAATCTGGTTGTACACTTAGAAAGATGGAATAAACTGCCAGTCTGCTAGAAATCATTAGAATAGGCGAAATAGATGCTTACCATATGTAGGGATCTTGTACTTTACGTCAAGATTTCCGCCAAGTTTTCCTGAGCCCAAGTTGTGAGCT